CTCTCTCTCTCTCTCTCTCTCTCTCTCTCTCTCTCTCTCTCTCTCTGTGTGTGTGTGTGTGTGTGTGTGAGTGAAAAATCCCAGGCAGATGTTGTCAGATGAGGATAGAATTGTTGAGTTGCTCTGGCTTGTCGGCGTACGCAGACACCCTCGATAATTTGTGAGCAAGAGCAATATTTGTTGAGTCTGAGCGGTGAAGTAGTATTCGGGTGGAAGCTTGGCGATCATTGGTAGGGAAAGTGCCTTTTTTTTTGTATGGTGTTGTCGGCGTCCTGACTTGCCTTGCTTTGGACATGCTTAGTTTTGTCAAGATATTCCTCCTCTGTGAGTTTCGCAGCCGGCAGCTGCTGAGTGTGAGGTATTTTAGGATTTGTGGAGCAGCTGCTGGTGGTCCACTGGTGGATGGTGATATAATTGATATTCCTTGAAAGAAGCTCCTGGGTGTTGCACTGCACTGCCTCAAGTTCCCTCAACTTCTAGTGTGTTCCGGCTTTTTCAAACAGCCTCCTCCTTCAAGTTGGAGGCATCTCTCTTCTGCGTAATTTTTTACTGAGTCACTGAGCACCATATGTCACTCGATGCGGAAGCCGCCAGCAAGGTTGGCGACTGCAGTGCTGCTCATATCCGTCACGGTGACCTCGTCGGTTGGTGTGTCAAAAATAAAAAAAAGGTACTCGCCGGGGCCACTCTTTGAGAAGTGTACAAAATACATCAGATTACCATATTTTTTGCTGGGAGAAGATGTGAGGCAGTGATGGAAAGAAGCGTTCTGCTAGACACGGTCGTCTGACCATAAAAACTACCTGTTAATACCGCAGGTAGTTTGCGGTATTAGCTGTTCTTGCAGAAATGGGTTTTCCAAAAGAAGTTGTGTTCCAGGTACTCTACATAACCCTCTCTGTCCGTACAGTTGGGGTCATTTGTGAGTATGTCAGATTGAGGTCCCACCCATCCATTCCCCTCACCATGGAAGTTGAGGGGATGGCCCTTTTTCTTGGTCTTTTTTTAGGGTGATGGCCCTTTTTTTGGGTCTTTTTTGAGGGGATGGCCCTTTCTTTGATGGGGAAGAGGGGAAGGGCAGGCAAGGGGAGGGGGAGTCTGCGGGACATGTGGTGGGCGACACCCTACAGGGTTACTCATACGGCAGGCTAAGCCTTGCTCGATGTTCGTTCGGGCAGATCGGACAAGTCAACGCACTACGGTAGCGAGGTGGTGGACAAGTTGATGCATGCATTTTGCAGAGTGGGGGGGGGGGAGGTTACGAGTTCTATGAATGTGGCTAAGAAGGGAATGGGAGTGGGAGAGGGAGTAGAGGGGGAGAAGAGACTTGAGGGCACGCTTGCGATTGCCTTGTTTTTGGGCTTGTGTTCGTTCACAAGACAAGAGTGCTTTTTTTTCAGATCTCAGCCAAGTTCTACTATAATTGCGACCTAGTCAAGTACCGTTGACTCGTGGCCGCAGTCTCTCGAGCACAAGGCTTTAGGATGAGAGAGTTTTGCAATGGTGGGTGAGCACTGAGCTTCCTGAACGTCATCTCGCCTTATGCAAAAGAACAAGTGGTGAGGGCCTAAGCTTGGCCAGTACAATCGGTAGATCATTGAAGTTGATTGAACCTCTTGCCGCCGATGGCATCATGGGCCTAAGGCCCTAAGCTTCTTCTGCATGAGAGGGAAAGTTAACGCAAAGTTAGAATACAATTAATTGGTTAATATTCATTTCAGAATTTTCAGTTTTAAAATGGTGGTGTTCTTCACAAATATTGTTTCCTTTTTTGTTTTTTGGTGATTCACAGCCCCCGGCGGGGCCTCCTTCCTGCCGTCGAGCTTCCTCCCCCAACGAAGAGACTTGGTGTCTCTTTGTCATCATCACCACTTGCTCATCCTGCATGTCCTGGCGTAACTGGTTCGCTTGGCCAGCTTTAGAAGTCAGGACAGAAATCAGAAGACACTTAGTTTGTTCTATATCGAATCATCTCCATAGAACGCACACCATCATGATGATGGTCAGATGGTAGTTTATGTGATTCTGTGGTTGAATAGATAATATGTGATTTGTCCTCCTCTCTTTGGAGCACAAGCTTTACGGAGGATCCTTAAAAGTTTTTTTTTTTTCTCAGATGATTTGGGGCTGCACTGGTCAACTGCGGCTGTGCTGGTCGATAGTCGCTGCGCTGGTTGATTGCGAGGCTGCGAATTCTGGACTGATGGATAGTGTATTCATCCCACATGACAGATGTGTATAAATGTTAATGTTTTGTCGAGCTATAGAACCCTCTCTGTAGGTGGGGTGTGACTGGAAAAGGAGAACCCACTGTAGGTGAGGTGATGGGTTTCAGGACAACCCCCAAAGTCGCATTGCGCAGGGAGAACCTGATGTTGGTACAGCGGCGTACACTGTACAGCGCATGCCTTCGTCATGAATGTCATTGACTGAAGGAAGGTGAAAGAACGAAAGTGGCCAGCTCGTTGGCAGGGACGATCAGCTTGCTGCGTGGAGCTTTCAAAAAAAGTCTTTCAGGAGCGATGGTCTTAGGTCTAGGAAAGGCAGGAGAAAGAGGAACAAGTATGACAGCTGCTGCGGTTTCGCTCATGGCATGGTTTTGTTTTTTTGATGGATAGGTTCTCGCCCAACTTCTCGGGCGTCTTACGGAGGATGGGTAGGTGGTGGTGGGACCAGGGGATAGGTCCACACACCAGTTCCCCCGGCCCTGCTAAGTCGGGCTCTTGCCGGTTTAAGCCGTATTAAGGCAATTACCTCCGGGGCTGGATCGGTAGTGCTGAGCACGGAAAGCCACTAAGAAACGACAAAAAAGGAGGAGGCCCACAAGCCTTGGAAGGAAAGTAGCTTCTTCCTCAACTTAGCCTCGTGTGAACTGGTTCAACTTGTTCAAAATCCCTCAAGGCAAGGAGGAGGAAGGACTTAGGACTTGTGATATGGTTGCCACCCTGCGAGGAAGCGAACCAATCTGACTCGAGTGATGACGCATAGAAACTGCTATCTGCTATTCTTTGAGCAAAGATAGCTGCTTTGCAAGTAGAGGGGCAGATATTCAGCCTGTGGAGGAAGAGAAGAGGGGCAGCCTTGAAGAAAAGAGGCTAGGTGGGGGCAGTTCCAAAAGTGGAAGAAAAGGGCAGCCCCTGGCGCCGCTGGCGGACATGTCCTTTCTGCAAATGACCACAGAGATGGAGCTCCACAACATACAGCTGTGTCTGGTCTGTGTCTGGTAGACATGGCTGCACAGGTGGGGACATCGCACCGTCCCCAGATGCAGATGCAGGCACAGGCATGGGCTCTGAGAATGCGGGCATGTTCAGGTCCACGGGAACCATTTGCGGCTGAACTGCAAGCCCATACTTCTCTGTATCGCTCCAAGTTTAACGGATGTCCCGAATGAAGCGCATGAATCAAGAAATGGTCCAAAACTCTTGAACTGCAAGGCTGCCAGGAGAGGGAGAACCTGAGTGAGGTTGTGGCGAGCGCAAAGAGTTGGAGTCTTGGAGAGGATGGGGCATCATCATTCATGAACGGCATCGGGAAGCATGTGAGAGAGAGGGGGGGAAAAAAAGAAGGAAGCATGTGAGAGGTTGCACGCAGGTAGGACACTACGATGTCTTCCCGGAAACAGGAAAATGCTATTTAGGTAGGAGCAGGAGGGAGGAAGTACTCGTCGTGCGAGGGGGAGGTATCCGCAAGTCTGAGGGGCATCCTGCCACGTTGTTGTGGGTTGGGGTTAATTTAACCAATGGCACCCTAGAGCAACCTGCCTTGTTGTTACAAAGGTGGTGGGGCCAAATATCCGCTGAAGCGGCTGAACGTAAAAGGTCCATCGAAGTTTCGATCCAGCAGCAATGGTCTGGTTCATGCAGAGCCTCCTGAAGTTTTTTAATCAGGGCTGATGTATGCCATGCTCAGTCAAGAGGCGTCTGGGCTACTGGTGGTTTAAGTACTAAGACACTTCAGGGGGTCTAAGGGGGTAGCTTCCACGGTGACTTCAGGAGGCAAATGCAGGTGATTGGGTCATGAACGAGGACGGTACCACGATCATGATGTAAGGCATGGGTAAAGTGGCATTCACGTCTAATAACCGCGCAGCATTGTTTTAGGTATGATTCAGAGAAATTAAACCACGACTCTGCTCTTGAGACTGGTGTGGTGACTTCATCAACTGGGCCCAATTTTTCAGTCTGCCCACTGGATGGATGCTCAATTGGGCTGCTGCGGTCATTGGTTTTTCATCTGTCTGCTGGGACTGACTTGTGGCTGGCCCCATTTTCCAGCAAGGGTAATGGTTGTTTAAGCCATTCGCTGTTTGATGCTAGTATCTGATAACCTGCATGTTTTTTTGACGCAAGACTAAACTTAAGTGCCTCGGATGGATACCCACCGCAATCTGGGAATAAGCTTGGCTGCAATGGTTGGTGATGACCATGTCCAAGGGCTGCACATGGGTGATCATCAGTCACTGTGCCAGGATAGGATCCTAGAAGAGGTTCCATGAACCAATTTATGAGTCTCAATTCTCGCATCTAGACCCAGCCCAAGGCCACGTGCAGACACAGCCCAAGGCCCAGGGCACAATTCTTTGAGACAACAGATCATTGCATAGAGGAGGGGCGGGTGGGTTGAGGATACAACAGGAGAAGATGAACTGCAGACGACGGAGTCAATGTGGACTTTCAGCGTGGTTTCCGGATCCCAAGAGTAGAGAGAACAGCCCTGGCTTTGGTGGGAAGAAACCGGACCAATACTAAAGCCACCCTCGCTGGTAGATGGTGAACTAGAGTGGCAAGTAAAGAACCTGGCAGTGCGCAAAATGTCCGATGAGCAGGTTTGGCCTTGTATGCCAAGCCTCTTGCCGGTTAAACAACCACCAGTACTTCCTAGAGTCGTGCCCGTTAACAAAGTCGCGATTTTAGGAAACGTACGGGTCACTACAGCAGTGCCCAAATTCATCCAACTAGAAACGTTTCTACTCTATTTTTTCCCACGGCCAATAGCTGGGCCAAGTACTGGTGGCTTAAAAACTACCACTACCTGGGAGGGCCTCCTTCCTCCCGAAGCCATGACTGCAAGTCTGCAACAAGCCCGGATTTTCCCCTGCCAACCTGCCCCGGGACTGGTATGGTATCAGGCCCGGGCCTTGTGAGGCTCGGCAGGTCAGACCTCGAGGTAGTGGTGGCGGTTTAGAGCACCAGTACAGCACACATAGTCGCGCCGGTGTCGGCATGAAACCCGCATTACTTCGGTGGCCGCCAATTTTTTTTTTTTAACTGCCCCTGGCAGTGTGGCCGCCTCCAAGTTTTGCTTGTGTCGACAAAAGCTTTCTTGAAGGCTGGCCCGGGGCCGTGTACTAGCGCTTTAAGCTACACCTCGCGGGGCTTGAAGTACCCCTCACAGAGATGGTATAGTGCTTCTCTGGTTCGGAGTGGTTCCATATCCAAGGGGATGAGATTCCATGAGAACCATGGCCAGGCCAGGCCAGATTAGAAAGTACTAGAGAATAGGCTTTCTAAAGTTTCTATAGCCATCTCTGTTCCTCCTCCCACCATCTTGTTGTATGTATTTTTGGTGTCGACTCGTACGGCTTTTAGCTCTTGCCTGAGATGATTACCATGCAAGATTCAAAGGTACATGTTCCGAACTTATTAATTAAATCTCTAGGATTCTCTACCTGAAATTCATTTGATTTTTTCCACCCGTGCCACTCCCCCTACCCATTCGTGAAGGGAAGGGAGCCAGCACCACCACGGCTACTCTCCTGAACGGTCTTTGTGGCTCTGCTACCCGTGCCGTGCCGTCCGTCAGTGAACACTGAACACTGCAGGTCAGATCAAGTGCGGATAAAGTGTGGATACTTTAGTGAAGTTTAGTTCATGATTACCATTTCCAGTGTTCCATTTACTATAGGATGCTTACTGAACTGCCATCAAGGGCGCCGGGCGGCAGCATTATCATGCAGGCAGGTTGCCGTGCCTTCTTTGCTTACAAATCTTGCGGTGCATTGGCGGCAATGGTGGAAAGGGGTTTAAGGGGGCGAGGGAGTCATAGAAAGCAACAGCTGTTATCAGGCCGGTCCCTCCCAACGGTGTCCAGAGGATATAGAATAGATTGAAGAAGAGGGAGGGGAGGGTGATGCTTCCTTCAGCGGCAGATTCATTGTGAATTAGGCCAAATGATCTGTAAGAGCAAGCATCACATTTTTGGTATATAGGATCCAGCAAAAGTTCAAGAGAGATGGAGGTAAGGATGTACCTAGGGAGTGATTGTGACTGAGTGTCACACAGGGATGGTTTTCGATGTATGGCAGCAAATAGAATGGATAGCAGAGGAACATGTTATCGGCAACCGCTGAAGAGAGGGAGAGGGAAAGTGGCCGATGTTTTTGAGATTCAGCGAGTTTCGGTGTTTGAGGCCATGTGTGAAACGAGGACGTAACTGACGCCCTTGAAGTTCTCGGGCAATTAGCATTTCTCCCTCGCGTACGCCAGTGCGCCCCACATAACCCCCTCAATCTATGGTCGGTACAGCACGTTCAAGTGACTCACTCGTGCATTCGTGATACAGGCTCCTTATAGCTGTAGGCCTCCTTCTACTGCAGCAGAAGTAGTACATCATCACAGTCGTCGATGCAGGGCATCGATGGCCACAAGCTGTTGCTGCCACCATGCTGCTGGGGTGGACTGAATGTCATGACCGGTATGGCCTTAGTTTTGAACACCGGGTCACGGTTGCAGTCACTGTGGTAACACTGGTAAGGGTATCTGTCTGTTACGGGCGAGGTCACCGGTTCGACTCCGTCTGGCTGCGGGTGGATTGCCTATAAATCTGGAACTCTGAACAAGCTGTGAGGATCCATGGTGGTTGTTTGTACAGTGGACAGAAAACGAACGCTGGAGTCGATAGACGCATCGCATCTGGTGCGAGGGATTTTGCGGCCACAGGTGGTGAGGATCGTTTGCCGTCGGTGCCCCGCTCACAAGAGCGTTTTCCTTCGCCCATTGGAATGACCCGCTGAGCCAGCAGATGCAAAGCAGGTGGTTTTGTTCCAAACATGAAAGTCGGTGCGTCTCATGATATTTTCGCTTTCATTTCATGCGGCCGGCAGTCACCTTAACTCTAATTGCTTTTTGTTTGTAAAGAAATCAGCAGCAGCCTTTTTGTCCCTATTTCTAGTGCCAGTTGTAGTGGTTTGTGGTAGGTTTCAGGCTGCAGCTGCCACATGGCATGGGCAAACTTTCTTTCTCTTTATTTGATTTTACCAAGGCCTGTGGTAAATTTCAGCCTGCAGTGCACATGGCCTTTCTACTAGTACTCTCTCTGTATTTTAATTACTGTGGCTATCTTGGCAAGGCCAGGTGCACTTTCCAAGATAATGCCCTTGTGTTTTTTGGCTGCTTAAGTTCTTACCCCCTGCAAGGAGAAGGTCATGTATCAAACAATAACAACTCCTTGTGTTTGGAACTTTGTAATCGAGTTGTTTTTTTCATCATTTAAATTTTAAAGTGAGAAATAGAAATCACTCCCCTTCCCCCGTCACATTATGTGTCTACCTATTCCTTTCCTCTATCTGAGAGCAATGATGCATATTTCTCCTCTGTTCCTCCCGTCTACCTATTCCTTTCCCCTATCTGAGAGCAATGATGCATAGTTTATTTGTTTCTCCTCCTCCTCCTCCTCCTCCTCCTCCTCCTCTTTCCCTCCCATTATGTGTCTACCTATTACTTCCTTTCATCTGAGAGCAATGCAATGTTGCATATCTCCTCCTCCTCCTCCTCCTCCTCCTTGTGTGCCTTTTTCCTCTTCTTCTTCTTCTTCTTCTTCTTCTTCTTCTTCTTCTTCTTCTTCTTCTTCTTCTTCTTCTTCTTCTTTCTTCTTCTTCTTCTTCTTCTTCTTCTTCTTCTTCTTCTTCTTCTTCTTCTGCTGCTGCTGCTGCTTTGGCCTCAGGCACCAGAATTCTCCTCCTGCCCCTCATTATAGTAGCAGCTATTCTGGTGCCTGATGCCAAAGCAGAAGACAAATAATAATAATAAGAAGAAGAAAAAGGCACACAAGGAGGAGGAGGAGGAGGAGGAGGAAAGACTCTGAGGTAACTTCAGTAGAATCGCAAAAACGAATTTAACTTATAATTGCAGTATGGGGCAAGATACAGTTTGCAATTGCACTTCGGGCACCCTACCTGGCCAAACAGCTGGGTTGTATACATTGCCTGAACTGCAATTGCAAACTGTATCTTGGCCCATAATGCAATTATAACTCTTTTTTGTGACTCCCATGTAGTTTCGCCAAGAAACTTCAAAAACGCTACGCTGGACCTGGTTTCCAGCAGGTGATATTCCCCACCAATAGACTGGAGTCTCCGAGGGATGACAAGGGAGGGACACTCTTATCACCATCCCTAATAACTCCTGAGAGTTTTCTGTTCTTAAAAAAAAAAAAAAAAAAAAAAAAAAGAAAAAGAAAAAAGAAAGGCTACCCGGAGAGTTACCTCTCTGCAACTCCTTGGGCAGGGGTGTTTTTGAGGCCGGCAGAGGCACTTCTAACACTTCAGAGGCCTTCTGGCCCCTAGAAGGTGCCATTATAACTGGAAGCCCCTACAAACCCGGAATAGCGTGGCGACCCGGAATTTTGTACTTGCAGCAGACCCTTAGGGACAACTTTCATAGGGTTTATACAGGTGGTAGGCTATAATTAGCTTGTTCTTTTCTTTTTTTTTCTTTTTTTTTTTTCTTCTTGTTTTAAAGCCCAGGTTGTTGTAGAGGTGGGATACTAGACCAATGACAGTTACCCACAGTACTTGGCCACTCTGTTGTCCAGCTGAACCCCTCTGAAGACCCCACCCACCCTTCCTCTCATCATTCTTGCCCTGGCACACCCCCACACCCCCTGTCCTACCCTTAGGCTAGTGCTATTAGCTTGTTCTAAATGTGATGCATGTTCTGCTTTTCTCTTTTTTTTTTTTTTTTTTTTTTTTTTTTCTCCAAGATTCGTTCAGTCGAAGTTTTTGTCAGCACTGTCCCTTTGGTTCTCAACCGTCGTCGCTAAACCACCAGTACCCCAGGGGGTCTTAGGCCTTCGTCGCTAAGCCACCAGTACCCCAGGGGGTCTTAGGCCGTTAACGCGGTTTCTGAATCGGTGCACGTGCGCGGGTCCATATGCATTTGCGTCAGAGCCTCCCCAGAGTTGGCCTAAGAACCCCTGGGGTACTGGTGGTTTCAGAACCTTATTATTGGCCCCGAAATCGTACTGTCGTCTTATTTGGTGGAAAGCTGGGAAAAACACCGGAAAGACGAAATCTTGCCTTAAGGACCATGACACATCAGCATCATGATATCTTGGGGAATGAGAGTGTCAGGAACTAAGGACCCAGAGTCATTAATGGGGGAGGGGAGGGGGCCCACCTGCCCCTAGAAAGGGTTCAGACTCTTCAGAGTCTTCAGACGTCAAATTGCTCCCAAGTTCCAAATGTCAGGGGAGGCATATCCCCCCATGACCTGGAAACATTCAATCCATGCTATAATTAGAAAAAGGGGTTCAGGAAAAATATGAAAAAAGAAAGGGCATCAGGAGGTGGGCCCTCTTCAGTAAACATCATTACTGGGGTGGGCAGGGGTGTCCTTTTTTGGATGCAGAGTAGAAAGGCTGCATCCTCAGAAAAGGCTGCATTTTGGTCAGAAAGTCTGCAGTTTGCTCTCATTGGGAGTACATTTCTTGTTCTTGGGAGCATAGAAGGAGGGGTGTCTGCTCATACCAGCATCTCCAGCTCCCACATGGGCAGTATTTTCAAAAAAAAAAAAAAAAAGGAACGAGGATGGATTACAAAATATAGAGAAAAGTGCGTAGACCAATCCCACTCAAGTGTGAAAATGTCGAATCAGAATTCACAAATGAGCATATGAGCAAGTGCGTGATCCAAAACCTGGACCCCCTTTTGAAAGGGATTAAATTCGCTTTAAAAGACAAAAAAAAAAARAAAAGCTGGGCTATTTTGGTCCTTCGCCCTGACATGGATTTTTTTTTTTTTTTTTTTTTTTTTTTTTAAAAARAACACAGGCAGCCTAATGTCGTATGATCTAGGCGCTTCGGCCTGGTTCATACGACGGCTGCTTTTGAATTATAAAAGCAGGAAACCGGATCCGGCGTCCCTCACATCATCGAAAAGGCTCCTTTTTTTTAAAAAAAACAAAAACAAGCTCCATCTATTGGTGGGGAGCAGCACCTGCTGGAAACCGGGTCCAGCGTCCCATAGATACAACCATATCCTCACTAATTGGCACAAACTGGGAACCGGGCCCAGCGTCCCATAACGAGTACATTCAGACAACTTCATCAAACAATTTCAAGAAAATGTGACCAAGAGCTACTAGAAAACTTTAATTGGCCTAAGGATGGAATTTGGAAAATTGAGATACCGGGACCATTGCCCGGCTTGAACTCGGAACAATTGGAACTACTTCAGACATGTCTATGACAACTTCATGATTAAGCAGAAATTCAGAAATGACTCGAAAGAAGCCCCATCGATCCGCTTTGCCTCACTCCAGCAAGACTGACTGCAGCGGAGCCACTATCTCTACTGCTGCTATGCCATACTCCCATCCTACCAGCTAGCCCCCTCACTGGTAGGACGCGTGATAACCCACCATCTTCTCCCACACACCTTATTAACTCTTACCGTCGTTCCAGAAGCAAGAGAATAGGCCACAGAGGTCCTACGATGGTTCCAAAAAACTTGAAAACCCACACAAACCCTTCCAACGTTCTCCAAAACTGTCGTACACTCTGCCGCTCTCTTCCAGGTCTCACACCCCCACTTTCTGCTGGGTTACAGGGCAACGCAACTCACCCCAGCTCCGACCAGCGTCGTCCCGGCAGCAACCCTCGGTTGTCCCATGGAAAGTCCCCCCAAGACCTCCCCAGATCTCTCTACCAGACCTCACGCTCCAGCATCGCAGGTTACAGGGCAACACCCCAACTCTGGTCAGCGTCGTCCTGGCATCGAACAACCACAGATCTCTGAGTATAACAGCGTTGACGCCACGTAAGAAAAGTTGGTAGGGATCCCTAAGTCCTAAAAAACATCCTAGGACCACTAAGCACCCAAATCTCTTTAGGACATTCAAAAAGTATTTTTAAGGAATATATGAACAGGGAGGGCAAAACTAAAATTGTCTACTATCCTAGATTCCCCCTTCCAACAGATGGAGCGTCGGTCCAGGCTTTCAGACCTCGTACCAGAACTCACTTGATCTCCTACACCCTTCTGCTAGGGTAACAGGGCACCACAACCCTCCCCAGTACCGATCAACCTAGTTCTGACGGACAGGAAGTGCCTTCCTCCCTCGACAATTCCCGTAGCGGCAAGCCCCTAAGCAGGTTACAGGGTCAATACCCCAGTGCCAGCTATGTCGGACGATCTGGTTATGCCTTCCACCCTCGGCATAACTTCCCAGGCCTCAATCTCCCCCTGGGTTACAAAACAGCGGCTCCAGCACCGCCTGTGTCGTCCCAGCCTCGTCCTTCTGACCTACTTACCCAAACAAACAACCTTTTCTGTTGAAGGTCCCCTTGCCAACTTCCCTCCTTCAAGCCTAGCTTCCCCCCCCCTTCGGTTCACTGTGTGGTCTTGGAAATCACTCCTTCCCTCAGAAATCCTCACACTGCTATAAGCAGCCACCCCCTTGCCTTCTCTCCCCACCCGCCAGTACTGATCCGACCCTAAATCGGTCTGGCTAAGAGACAACAATCCCCCAATACCGCCTCCCCCCTCCAAGAATAACACCTCCCACCTTGTGAAACCCTCACGGGGGGAGGCTCCAACCCTCAAGGAAGACACCACAGGTATATACAGCAAGCCACAATTACACCCCTCAAGGCCAGTCTGACCAGGAAGTTGGAATTAACAAGCCAATCCGAATCAAATTTTACCGCACGGTGTTATGGATCTAATAACATGGTGAGACCTCAAATCGCTAAGACTAATTACTAGATGAAAATTACTTAGCATCGACATCAAAAAAACCATTGGGATAACGAATAAGATCGAGAGCATCGAAGAGGTTTGAATCTTGAATTTTAAGCATCAAAACTGAAAATTAAAAAGGGAATACGATTTGATATACGATTTGATAAGTTTGGAAAATCCAAGTAGGAAAAACACAGTAGAAAATCAATTTTGTTGTCCAAGCGGACTTTCGACTCAGGCTTCCATAGCACAAAGTCCAAGAAATCGGTCAGACCGTAATTCAGGAAATCAGAAGAACCTCTTCATAAGAACATCTAAGCTTATGGCTTTAGAAAAACAAACCGATA